ATAAACTATTGTTCATAAACAATTGATTTGAATGGGCATAGCATAGTTTTTTTTAAAAAAATTGAATATTTGTGTGAGCCTTCTATTTGGGTTAGATTTAAAAGAGATTTTGCAGTTCTCTGTGATCTCTGTAAAGGTTTCATGTGAAATTTTGATGGAGCCTCTCATTTTGGTATAATTCATTCAAGAAGTAGTTGATGAGACACTTACATTGTGTTGTGAATTCTGAAGCTTTTCCAAGCCTTGATATTTAATTATGCTATCTAGGTTGCCATTTTGTATGATTGCTAAAAATCCCTCAAATCTGTGGCTTTTTAAAAGTACATATTCACTGGCATTTCTCTATGTCCTTTCTGAATTGTATTGTATTGTGCTGCCTGGAATAGTCAAGTATTTTAGATGTAGAAAGTGGAAGAGAATGAGCAGCAGAGCTTGCAAATATATTGTAAAAATGTTAGAATAAATATTCTTTGAGTAACCAAAAGTACCTGGTACTGCACTATAATACTCATAATACTCTTGCTTTTTTGTTTGCTTGTTTTTGGTACAAAATTCCCAAACATAAGCTCCAAATTAATCAAATCAGCTCATTTGCACTTTAACAGTTCTTTTCTTTAATGCATAAGTGAAATGCATTTACATGCAACTCCTTTACAGTTTTTGTTACAGTACAGGCAGCTTGCCTGAAGCAGAAAGTGGGAGAGAGATACAAAATTAACTGTTAGATCCGGATTCATAGCTATCTCATTTAATCTGAGAAGCAGGAAGGACTTAATGCTTACTCTGTGGTTGAAAGACATGCTCTTTCCATAAGATGTCTCATTCTCAGAGTTGTAAAGTAATACATATGCCTTCCTCACATTTGTCTTTGAACTTATCAAATGTTTGATTCTTGGCAAAACAACAGTATAGCAGAAGTCTGCAACCTGTCACCCGTGGGCATAAAAGTCTTTGCCATTCCCCATAGCATCTAAAAATATCAAACATGATAATGCCAAATGTAGTCATGAGATTGCTGAAATATAATCAAATTTCAGGTAATTTTGATGGGATAGGTGCCCAGGGCCTAAAAATCTTGTTGACTTTATCGTATGGATATCCCACATATTTCTTCTGCCTCCTTCCCCTTAGCTTTGCAATAAATATGCATCATACAAATTATAAATGTGTCTGTAGTCATAGGTGAAAGAGGTAACAAACAATGGGTAGGAATGAGAAGACAGATAGTAGCATGCTATAGCCATTCTTGGGAATCCTAATTTTATTAGTTTGGATTCATTTATGGCTTTTGATGTGAAAGTTTGATATATTGATTGTATTTCATGTGAACACTTAGACTCAAATACCAAAAAAGGACATACTATTTCCTTCCATGCTTGTTCTATTAGGTACATCTTTCTCGCTATGGATTTTGTTAATTGTGAATTTTATCTAAATTGATAAATAAGACATATGAAGCTCAAAGTAAGGTGGCTTTATTTTATTTGTTTTGTTTTGTTTTGTTTTGTTTTGTTTTGTTATTTTGGCTAAACTGGGATCATTTACTTGTGCTTTGAAACCTCAACTGAAAAAATGCTTAGTAGATTTCAGGATAGCAAAAAATGTTTTAATGTTATATTAGTGTCTGAACTATGGTGGTTAATTAACATTGTTGGAATATTGTATTTGTATTACAAATATGTAAATACACTTTAATATTAAATCTCAGTCATGGAGTAATAGGTGCTTCCATTATAACCTCTGCAAACTTATTTAAAAAGTTTTAATGTAGCATGGCTTAAGGTGATTTTTTTACAAACTAAATATCAAAACAAAATTAGATGTTGAGTTTTGGATTGTAACGTTCTCTATTTAAAAACATTTAATTAAATTTCTAAGGTTGAGAATTGTAATGAAAGTTATTTCTTTGGTCACTGACTTTATTCATAATAATACTTAGAGCAAACTCATTTGAGAACAAGGGTTCTGCTAACTGGCAGTTTCCTCACACATTACATTTCATTGACAAAAAGTAAATGGTGATTTCAGAAAAGCAGCTTTGCATTTTGCCTTAATTTGCACCCTTGATCAGTCTGCAGTGAATTACCGTTTAATATAAATTAAATTCCTAACATCTTAACTATAAAAAAATGGATTATGCCTCGCATTTTGTGCACTTATATTCCTGTTCTAATCACTTTAATAAATGGAAAATTTGCCTGACTTTTCATGGCAAATCAGTGTTTCACAATGCTTTACTAGCCAATTGACTATTTTGAAGACTTGGGCAGAAATTATGATAGATTTGGAAAATAATTTTGCCCTATATTAGTATTTTGTACTGGAAAGAGTTGCATGCAAATTTCATGGTTTGAAAGAGCAATAGAAAACTAATTTGGTGGAGATATTGATGTTTTTAAAGAAACTTCAAAATATCAAAATGTTGCAAGTAATCAGCTACCTTTAATGTAATAACATGAAATGTATGTACTTTTAATAGGTATGTTGTTTTTTATTCAGTTTAAAACACTTTCCCTGTTTTCTAGTAGAGCGAATAATTTTAGTCCCATGTATCATTAGAGGGGAAATTAGAAAAAACTACAAAAAGATGCATAATTTTATATTAAAAGTGTGTACTT